GTTTTGTGAAAACATCATTATTAGTTGTTAGTACGATAGTACATTAGCAGGGCGAAAGCTTGGGCAAGTTTCCTTATTTCATACGCTTGATAATAATTCCTCAAGAAAAAAAATAATAAAATTGGTCACGTCAATCCACAACGTTTACAGGACACTGCTGTGCGCAATTGGCTGCTGCGTTTCACCCAGAAATATACAGTCAATTCACTTTACAGTATATTCTGTGAAGCGCCTTGAGACGTCTAGAAGACGTGAAAAGCGCTATATCAAATGCAAGGATTATTATTATTAGCAATGCTAACATTGTCATGCATTAACACTTTCTTTAAATCATACCACTCGGTTTTCTTTATTGCATAAAAAGCTCCATGATCTGTTATTTTATTCCAAATGTATTTGCCAGGTTTGGCATTGTGAACTTGCCACAGGAATTTGTTTGCAAAATCAATTTTCAAATGATATTTGTCCATCAGATCTGCACCAATAATGTTTAACTTGTCTCTAGTGTCCACCAAAATACATGGCCATTTTATTTCTAAATGTCTCATTTGAAGTGGAATTGGAATTGATTCCACCCCATATTGACAATTGCTTGTAAAACCACCTAATGGAGTAACTGTTTTAGAATGCAAACCGGACATTTTGTGGGTTTTTTTCATATATTATAGTTCAAGAGGCACCAGTGTCCAAAAAAATAGTTTACAATGGCCTCCTATTGCAACAGTCATACATGGTCTTCCACGATTATCAATTTTTGTACTGGGCCCATTATTTCAGTGGTGGTTTCTGATTGTCAATCAATACATCCATGAACTCTATCTCCTCATTGCATGTTATACATCGGAAGGACACCAGGTGCCGCAATTGCCTGACTTTGAAAAGCTTACAATTTAGTTCACAGCTTTCCGAACTCTGAATTTATTTGTCCCACCACGTCTTTTAGATCCAAACCAGCACTTTTTCCTTCATGTCTACAATATTTTGTCACATGTCCCATTTCACCACAATTCTGACATTGTATTTTGGATCTACAATCGCGAATATTGTGTCCCTTTTTACCACAAATTCGGCATTCCAATCCTTTACACTCAGGCTTGATATGTCTCGGTTTTCCACAATGGTAACAAACCACTTGTGTCTTTGCACCTATGTTTCTCCCCTTTCTTTGCCACGGAAATTTGGCTTCCCTTTAGCACCCTGCAAAGGTCGCTCATTTTTCCACATCTCTTTCAGTTTATTTTCGACGAGTGTGGATATTTTATGACTTTTTAAATTTTCTTTCTCACCCTGTCTTCCCTCCCACTTCATTATCATTTTTCTTATGATCCACTTCTCATTATGGTCCTCATTTTCCCTATCCCAGGTTTCTTCAAAACTAGGCTTATAAGGTGGTAGGGAATGGTTAATAATCACTCTGTGCCACCTTTCTGTAAAGTGATCCAGATTACTACGATTTAGTCCTGGATCAAATGTTCAATTGAATGCGTCCCATAATCTGTCTATGTAACATTTGGGACAGTTCATCTCCGTGTTCACCCTATCAAATCCCCTCATAATATTGAACACCTCTATTAAATCTCTCCTTAACCTTCTTTGCTCCAAGGAGAATAATCCTAGTTTCTCTAGCCTCTCCTGATAACTGAAGTCCCTCATTCCTGATAGCAGCCCGGTAAATCTGCTTTGCAACCTTTCCAAGACCTTGACATCCTTCCTAAAGTGTGGTGCCCTGAACTGAACACAGTACTCTCGCTGAGGCCTAACCAGTGTTTTATAAAGGTTCATCATAACTTCCTTACGTTTGTATTCTCTGCCCTTATTTCAAGCTGAGCATTCCATGTTTCTTTTAACAGCTTTATCTACCTGTCCTGCCACCTTCAACGATTTGCTTATGGTCTCTTCCTTCCTGCACCTCCTTTAAGATTCTACCATTAGCTTATATGCCTCTCTTCATTCTTCCTCGCAAAATGCATTTCTCCGCATTAAATTCCATCTGCCATGTGTCTGCCCATTTCACCAGTCTGTCTATGCCCCCTTGCAGTCTGCTACTATCCTCCTCACCATTGACTACTTTTTCTAGCTTTGTATCATCTGCAAACTTAGAAAGTGTACCCCCTAAACCCAAGTCCAGGTCATTTATATAGATCAAGTGGAGTCCTGTAGCTCAGTGGTTAGAACACTCGTTTTGCAAGTGAGAGACCTGAGTTCAATTCCAGACAGGACAAAACCTTGGGCAAGTTTCCTTACTCCACACGCCTAATAATCCCTCCAAAACCAAAAACAATAATAAATTGGTCATTTTCAATCTACGACTGTTTGTGGGACATTGCTGTGCGCAATTGGCTGCCGCGTTCGCCCACAAATATAGTCAATTCAATTTACAGTGTGTTCTGTGAAGCGCTTTGGGACGTCCTCCCGACGTGAAAAGCGCTATATCAAATGCAAGGATTATTATTATCAAAAAGAGCAGTGGTCCCAATAATGACCCCTGGGGAACCCCACTGTATACTTTCCTCCAGTCTGAGAAGCAACCATTCTCTGCTTTCTGTCTTCCAGACAGTTTTGTATCTATGCTGCCACTGTCCCTTTAATACCATGGCCTTCAATTTTTCTAACAAGTCTATTATGTGGCAATTTATCAAAAGCCTTTTCAAAATCCATATAAACTACATCAATTGTACTAACCTCATTCACCTTCTCCGCTACTTCATCAAAAAACTCTATTGGGTTTGTTAGACATAATTTGCCCTTAACAAATCTGTGTTGGCTGTCCTTTATTAACCTATATTTTTCTAAGTGAAAATTTATTTTTTCCCAGAGTATCATCTCTAGAAGTTTCCCCACTACTGTTGTAAGGCTGACTGGCCTGTGGTTCCTGGGTTTATCCTTCTCTTCCTTTTTGTACAGGGGAGTAACATTTGCAACCCTCCAGTCCTCCGGCACCACCCCGGTGTCCAAGGAGGATTGAAAGATTATGGCCAGAGCCTCCGCTATTTCTATCCTTACTTCCCTCAGTAGCCTAGGATGCATCCTGTCCGGGTGACTTATCTACCTTGAGCATCATTAACCTTTTCAGTACCTCATCTGTTTATTCTCATCTTATCCAATTTCTCTACCATCTCCTACGAGACTGTAGCATTGACTGCATCCTCTTCTTTTGTGAAGACAGATGCAAAGTACTCATTCAGTACGTCAGCCATGCCCTCTGCCTCCACAAGAAGATTTCCTCTTTGGTCTCTAATCAGCCCCATCCTACCTTTGACTAACCTTTTATTCTTTATATGCGTCTAAAATACTTTAGGGTTCCCTTTTGTTACCCACTAAATCTTTTTTCCTACAATCTCTTTGCTCATTTCCTTTCTATTTCCTAAAATGGTTAGCTTTGATGAAATCTACAAATTCAACTGAAAACTAGCTCACTTTGATATACTCGTGCTCACTGAAATCAGAAGGAACCTTTTACAAGGTTATTTGGTTTAATCGCAGCACAGTTAAAATCAATTCTATGAATACATGATCCTATTTAAGACCCATGTTTAAGCTGTAATTTAAATCCATGGCTATTTAAGATGAACATCTGTGCTTCCTTACAACAACAAATTACATTTGTATGGCATCTTTCACGTTGGGAGGATGTCCCAAGGTATTGATCGTCTTCGCGACGTGAGGGATGAGGTTGCACGACAGGACCATTTAGTAGAGTTCATCCAATTCCTGTGAGAATGAAGTGTTCAGATTCTTTCTGAGACGTCCATCAAATTAACTGACACACAGTGAATCAGTAAAGGTTGCTCATTTTAAGGCAGTGGTGTGATTTGGTGAATTGCTAATATGCATTTGTGCCCAGCTGAGGCCAGTGAACCACCACAGGGGAAGCTGAAAAATATGAGAATCATATTGGGCTACTCACCTGAGCCTTCAAGTTGCCTCATACAGCACACCACACTCACAAGTGCCACCCTGGTACAAAGAGAAAAGGCTGACGGCTCATGCTCTTGGCTGAGGATGGCGTACGCTGCATTTACCTCATTTCTATTCAACTGTGCAGTGAACTGAATACTTGTCACTCAGGGCTCTGCTACAAGATGCAAGTCAGTTCAGAGCCCTGAATATCTTATGTCCTTGCCTTCACCATCCATCAATCATATCAGTGTGTAAGGCAGTCACTGTGGTTTTGCTGCCCTGGAGCTCCTGGGCTCTTATGCTTTACATAATATTCCACCAATGCAATTGATTTGCTGCCGATTGGATTAACACTGTCTCTCTGCTTTCATCTCTTTCGGTTTCCAAGATAGAACATACTTTTTTCAGGCAAAATCCCTGCCAATGATGAGCACTTAAGTTACAATGACGATATGCTGTACCGATGTATTGAGCGAAAGAAAATCTTACTAGGCTCACTCCAGACCTTGATGTTCGGAATAAAATTCTAAGTTCAGATAATCAATGGTCTCTCCACACTTAAAGTGCTCTGAGACTCTTCCCTGCTTGGAGGGTGCTATATAAGTGCAAGCTGTTGTTGTTGTTGTTGAGTATCATCTTGGAGATGTTCTGACAATGCAGCGCAGAATCTTATTTGGCATAATGCTTATTTTTGAAAGTACAAGCCTGCAAAACATCAATTACGGTGTCTGTGCTTCAAGCTTTTAACACCCCCAAGGGATCAATTCATTTCATCACTGTTGGTGAGATGTTACCAGTAACCCTCTTAAAATATTATTCAATTCATACCAGACCTATACAAAGTCACATGTGTTACTTGGCAAAACAAACCCGATGGACCAAAGGCCTTATGCTGACGATTTCTGTTCGTAATCCTGTGTTTCTCTTCCTTCTATAAGTGTGAAGGCACGTTTTGTGCATGGAAATGTATAGAAAAATCTACCACACCTAAATTATCAGCTGTGCAAAACCAACTAACCTATATTCAATAGAAATGAGAAACCGGACATGAAATCAATGTGCTATGAAAGTTAGACACTTTAGTCTTCAAAGAAGAGGTGTTACATTATAGGATTTTATTTTCTGTAGAGAAGTTCTTACCAGCCCACCCAAAATTTCATTACAGTACTTAGATTTAAAAAGAAACTGTTGCATAATTTACAAAGTAAAACACTTACAGCCTGTACAAGTTTACTTTAGCCTTCAAACAGTTTTCACATGAATCTTTATTGTAATCAACCCCAGAGAAAAAATCTTGCCCACCACCGTTGTGTTAAATATGTACAGTGAAAAGTTATTAACATGTTCTTTACATTATTACAAAGAACAATTGCTGAGTAGGCATGAGCATAGGAAAACATACTGTAACCTCTAAAACGACAGAAAATAGGGCAAAGAACTTGTGCAAATCTGCATTCATCTTTCACACAAATCAGATGAAACCAAACCAAAACATACAAAAGATCATTTTGGTCACTTGCAAAATGCTATGGATTTGATGTAAATATGTGAATGAGCTGCTGTGGTTTAGAACTTGAATTGGGAGCAGAATGGCGAAGATTTGGAAACACAATAACTATGGAACAAAGTCAATTCAAAAAGGCAACATGTATTTTTTAAAAAAAGTAGGCCTTGAAAGAATTAATAGAATATCCAACCTTACTTACATGTATATTGGACACTTCCACAATCTAATCCATTAAAAATGCGACAGCTACAAAAAAATAATTTTCTCTCAAAATACACTACAAAATGCTGTGATAAAATAACTTTCCTCTCTGAACTCAATTAGACACCCACCCCCCTCCCTCCCTTCATAGTTGTGCTGTAACATTCACAAGGTTATGGGAATAAAAATGGGCAAACACTACAGTTACAGTGCCGGGTAAGAAGCATGAAGGCTTAATGGATCTTAAAAGGCTTTCTTCTAACAACCTTGAACCTCACCTGCTGAAGGAAAGCTTTTGTGTGGAAAGGAGAAAGATTAACTGACCTTGCACTTTTCCTTCACTCTCATAGGATGACTAACAGTTAAAATGTCACTGTGGCACTTAGGTTCACGTCGCGAAATGATTTTCACACTAATCAGTGACACTTTGTTGAAATAGTCCCAAACTGAATGCATAAATATGACTTTACATTTGGCTTCTAAATATCAACTGCTGATCAAATGGTTACATCACGGCTGTTAATCCTTCAACATGAACGTCATCACAACACTGACCGCGTGGAGAATGCCTGCTCCGAGCAAACTAAAGCCCTACACTCAATAACACCATTCCTATTAATGTCCCAGAGGACATCATCATAATAATAACAAGAGTTAACAGGTGTAATTTCAGTTCAGGGTTCACACAGGTTTCATATACGACTTGGGGTTACCATTTCAGTTTACATCATCTGAACCCTTTACTGCGATGGCTGCTTTGTAATTCCTCCCTGCTGGTGGTCACCAGCAGAAGAAAGTGACTGAATTATACAAAAAATATGGGAAGGATTTTTTTAAAAACTTGTCCAAAATAAGAAACAAACAAACCTGTTTGGGACAAACACAACCCCTTTGGTCACACCGATCAATCCTGTAATCCACTGCTCCGAGCATTGTCGCAGTCTTGAGGTGCCACACAGATTACTGTAATTTGTGCCATTTGTACCATAATTAAGTGTTGCAAAAATTTCCTCAGGAAAAGCCCAGGGGTCTTGCTATGACTAAAAGTACAAAGGACCATCTGCATCACAGGGCAGGGAAATGAATCGTCAATCCTCTGAGAAAGCAGATATCAATTTGGATATCAAAGTATGTGAAAAAAAAATCAGTGAATGGACTAGAATTTTGTTTAAACTCATTTCAACTTACAATTAAAAATCAAACAAGGGGCAGAAAGAAGCATTAATCTCATGAATCTGTTAAGAGGAAACACATTTTAGCATTTAGTGACAGACAGCAGCTTTGTGAACACAGGCTACTGTTGAGTAAAACTAAACATATGCATTTTTGAAAACTGAATGATTTTACTTGCAACAAGTTAGTACCAGCACCCACCTCCCTCCCACGACAGCCATTTCCCTATAATTCCTCTTGATAAACAATACTAATTTGGGTATTTCGAGACCTATCTTGTCTAGTTCTCAACTAGTACCAGACATGTGCTCTGTGTTGACCATCGTTGAAGGATCAGATTTGTGACTGCGAAGTTAACTCTGGGGACAGCACTCTCTTCTTGGTAATGCCAATGTTAAAATAGCTGGATCATCAACTCTCTTGACTTGCCAATCCCAATCCATTTAACTGAAAACAAAAAGAGTATCATGGCATTAGAGAACACATACGCTCTGCTTGCTTAACACTTTTCATGCTGCAGTGGATCAGGAGCAACAGAACAACAACAAATTACATTTGTATAGCACCTTTCACATCGGGAGGACATCCCAAGGCATTGGACAGTCAGGTATTTGGACCCGAGCAGGAGATTAGGACCAGTGGGGGTGGAGGGCAGGGAGGATAGAGGTAGGAGGGTGGCTGAATGCATGGTTGAAGAAGAGGATTTTGAGACTTGCTTTGAAGGAGGCAAACGAGGGAGCAAGACGAAGGGACTTTGGGATGGAGTTCCAAAGGGTGGGGGCAGAGACACTGAAGGCCCCTGGGTTAGCAAATCACAGAGGTAGGAAAGCGAGGACGAGGATTTTGAGCTCGATCCTCTGGGGGATAGGGAGCCAGGCAAGGGTGGGGTGATAGGATCATGGAAGCGGTGCGGGAGAGGACACAAGCTGAAGAGTTCTAGATGATCTGCAGCTTGTGGAGAGAAGAGTTGGTAACAAGCAGGGAAATGCCGTAATTTGAATCTACATGTAATAAATGCGTGGATGAGGGTTTCAGCGGCCTGAGGAGGGAGGCAGTGGTGGAGCTGGGCGATGTTGCAGATGATGGTAGGCAGAGCGGGTCATGGCACGGATGTGGGGTAGAAAGCACAGTTGAGGGTCAAACAAGATGCCAAGGTTCTGACTGGCTCAGTGAGGTGGAGTGTGTATCCTTGGATGGTGATGCTGTCAGCATCTGAGGTGTGGAGGCGCTGACGGGAGCCAATCAGGAGAGCCTCGGTCTTGGTGATGTTCAACTGGAGAAAGTTTGCTCTTATCCAGGACTTGATGTCTGACAGACATTCTGTCAGGACAGCAGTGGTCCTGGAGTTGAGGGTGGAGGCAGAGAGATAGAGTTGGGTGTCATCTGCATACATGTTGAAGTTGACCCCATGTCAGCGGATGATTTCGCCAAAAGGGAGCGTGTAGATATTAAAGAGGAGGGGACCAAGGAAAGAGCCCTGAGGAATACTGCAAAAGATGGTGCTGGTGGAAAAGCTGTTTGTGGAGACGAACTGGAGACGGCGTGAAAGATAGGATCTGAACCAGTCAAGGACAGAACCGTGAAGGTTGAGGTGAGAGGCGGTGGAGTGGTCAATGTGTGAAACAAAATTTGGAAGCGCTCCTTCCATCTCTCCTGCCATCCATCCATATGGAGCACAAGGTTTTAAATCCTCCAGTCTCAACAATACAGCTCCAATTTTGAGCATCCTTCATTCGCTTTGCAATTTTTGCCCTCCTCCTGTCATGCTCAGGTGCTTGTTCCTTCAGTTGCTCACTAAAGGCCATTTTTATGTGCAAGCCCAGCCAGAGCATTAGGCAGGGTATTTGACCGACTGCAAGGGAACCACTTCTGAACTCAATCCGATCCTCATCGAACGTTCTCACATTTGTGGAGTCCTGTAGTTCAGTGGTTAGAGCACTCGCCTCACAAGCGAGAGACCTGGGTTCAATACCCTAAGATATTTTATAAGCATATAAAGAATAAAAGGTTAGTCAAAGGTAGGATGGGTACAATTGTGGATTAAGAGGAAATCTTCTTGTGGAGGCAGAGGGCATAGCTGACGTACTGAATGAGTCTTTGCATTTGTCTTCACAAAAGAACAGGATGCAGCCAATGCTACAGTATCGGAGGAGAGGGTAGAGAAATTGGATAAGATAATAAACCGAGAGAAGGGACTAAAGGGGTCCGGACAGGATGCATCCTAGGTTACTGAGGTAAGTAAAGGTGGAAATAGCAGAAGCTCTAGCCACAATCTTTCAATCCTCCTTGGACACCGGGGTGGTGCCAGAGGACTGGAGGGTTGCAAATGTTACTCCGCTGTATAAAAAGGGGCAGAAGGATAAACCCAGGAACTACAGGCCAGTCAGCCTAACATCCATAGTGGGGAAACTTCTAGAGGATATAATCCGGGACAAAATAATTTTTTACTTAGAAAAATATAGGTTAATAAAAGGACAGCCAACACAGATTTGTTAAAGGCAAATCGTGTTTAACAAACCTGAGTTTTTTGATGAAGTAATGGAGAGGGTGGATGAAGGTAGTGCAGTTTATAACAACAACTTGCCCTTATATAGCATCCTCCACCCCAGGCGGCATCTCAGAACAATTAACAACGTTGGAGCCCAAGGCCGAGCCAGAGGGAGGGGGAAGGTGACCATAATCGCGGTTGAAAAGGAACATGACCAAGGAGGGGGCAAGGCGAAGGAGTTGAGGGAGGGCGTTCCAAAGTTTCGGGGCGTAGTGGCTGTTGATGGTGGAGCGCAGGATTTGGGTGACGGGGAGGAGGCCAGACCCAGTAGAGCTGAGAGGTCTACTGGGTCCAGCCTCCTCCCCGTCATCAACTCAGTAGTTTATATGGATTTTCAAAAGGAGTTCGATAAAGTGCCACATAAGAGACTTGTAAGTAAAATAGAAGCCCACATATTAAATGGACTGTGGCAGCATGGATATAGAACTGGCTGGGAGATACAAAGCAGAGAGTGGTGGTGAACGGTTGTTTTTATGACTGGAGTGAAATGTGCAGTGGTGTCCCCCAGGGGTCGGTATTGGGACCACTGCTGTTATTGCTCTATATAAATATGTCTATATAAATGACCTGGACTTGGGTATAGGGAGTACAATATCCAAGTTTGCAGATGATACTAAGCTAGGAAATGTAGTAAACAGTGAGGCAGATAGTAGCAGACTGCAAGGGGACATAGACAGACTGGTGAAATGGTCAGATATGTGGCAGATGAAGTTTAATGTGGAGAAATGCGAAGTAATGCATTTTGGGAGGAAGAATGAGGAGAGGCAATATAAGCTGATGGTACAATCTTAAAGGGGGTGAAGAAACAGAGAGATCTGGGGGGGGTTTCATATAAGCAAATCTTTGAAGGTGGCAGGACAGGTGGATAAAGCTGTTAAAAAAAACATACGGGATACTAGGCTTTATAAATAGGGGTATAGAATACAAAAGCCAGGAAGTTATGATAAACATTTAGAAAGCACTGGTTAGGCCTCAGCGAGAGTTCTGTGTTCAGTTCTGGGCACCACACTTTAGGAAGGATGTCAAGGCATTGGAGATGGTCCAAAGGAGATTTGCCAGGATGGTACCAGGAATGAGGGACTTCAGTTATGAGGAGAGACTAGAGAAGCAAGGATTATTCTTCTTGGAGCAGAGAAGGTTAAGAGGAGAGTTAATAGAAGTTTTCAAAATTATGAGGGGATTCAATAGGGAGAACAAGGAGAAACTATTTCCACTGGGGGGTGGGTTGGTTAACCCGAGGACACAGATTTAAAATAGTCGTCAAAAGAATTGGAAGGGAGGTGAGCAGAACTTTTTTCACACAGCGAGTTGTTAGGATCTGGAATGCATTGCTTGAAAGGATGGTGGAAGCCAATTCGATAACAACTTTTAAGAAAGAAGTGGATAATTATTTGGAGAGTACAGGTATGCAGGGCTTTGGGGGGAGAGCGGGGCAGTGGAATTGATTTGGATAGGTCTTGGATAAGAGCCGCACAGAAACGATGGACCGAATGGACTCCTTCTTTGCTGTATAATTCTATGAACACGAAGGTAGTCAGGGAGGAAGTTAAACCCCTATGCGATCTGAAAGTATGAACAGAAGGTAGTAAGCATAATGCATTGGTTCTTAGGAGACTTTAACCAGAGAAGAAATGTTTTCATTTGGCATATTACGTGACTCTGCAATGATGATGTTTTAGATGGGATTGAGATGTTAAAAACTAATAAATCCCCTGTGATGATGAAATGCACACCAGGATACTTGGAGAGAAGAGAGCAGATAACAATAATAATTATTATTATTATGTGATATTAGGCCACTAGTAAAATACAACACAGATTTACATTGCACTTTTCACGTCAGGGCGATATCTCAAGGCTGCAGACAGTCCTGGCTTGGCACCCAAGCTAGGGGTGGAGCTGAGGGGTACGGGGATGGGAAAGATAACTGATGTCACAGTCAAAGAGGAAGGTCTTCAAATTGACTTTGAAAGAGTTGAGGGAGGAGCCGAGACAAAGGTATTTACGTAATGGAACATTAGCGTGCAACATGGTATTTGTTGAACTTTGGGACAGAATCAGATTAGGTTTTCAGATAGCCCGCCAGCCAGCTAGCCTGCTCACATTTCAGACATCTTAGACTGTCACAGGCAAATTAAGGGAAGGTCCTTGGCTTCTATGTAACCATATCCCATTAAGATGTGCACCTTGCTGGGGCAGGGCGGCGGTTGGGAGGGGGGCAATAGCTTTCTGGAGTCTGATGCAGAATTAATCAAAATGTTTAAAAGTGACATCAAATTATGTTTTAAAGGGAGCAACAATTAGACCATTTGACTTACCAGGCACGCCAACATATTCCTCAACAAAACGGACATAGTTCTGTGCATTTACAGGCAGATCTTCAAACGTCCTTGCACTTGCTGTGCTGGTGCTCCAGCCAGGCACAGACACATACTGAACTTCTACCTTGTTTAAGACCTCCTGGTTAGCTGGAAATCAATTGCCACAAAAGTTGCATTAAATAGAAAAGTATCAAGTCAATATTAAATTATACTCATGTATTAAAGCAGAAAATACAATTTTAGATTTACAAAATGGAACAACTCTATCCTCATCCACCGCCTCTCCTCTCACCTCAACCTTCACAACTCTGTCCTTGACTGGTTCAGATCGTACCTCTTACACCACCTCCATTTCATCTCCACAAACGGTTTCTCCACTAGCCCCTGCACGGTCTCGTGCGGCGTTCCTCATGGCTCTGTCCTTGGTCCCCTCCTCTTTAATATCTACATGCTCCCTCTTGGTGACATAATTCTTAGACATGAGGTCAACTTCCACATGTATGCAGATGACACCCAACTCTACCTCTCTGCCTCCACCCTTGACTCCAGGAGCACTGCTGTCCTGACAGAATGTCTGAATGACATCAAGTCCTGGATGAGAACTAACTTTCTTCAGTTGAACATCAACAAGAGCGATGCTCTCCTGATTGGCTCCAGTCAGCGCCTCCACACCTCAGGCGCTGACAGCATCACCGTCCATGGATGTACACTCCACCTCACTGAGCCAGTCAGGAATCTTGGGGTCTTGTTTGACCCTCAACTATCCTTTCTGCCCCACATCTGCGCCATGACCCGCTCTGCCTTCCCCCACCTCCAAAGTATTCCACGGCTCCGCCACTGTCTCACACCACAGGCCACCAAAACCCTCATACACACTTCCATTACATCAAGGCTTGAATATGCAAACTACTTGATTCTCAGCCTCCCCAACTCCTCTCTTCATAGGCTGCAGATCACCCAGAACTCTGCAGCCCGTGACCTCTCCCGCATCAGGCTCCGTGACCCTATCACCCCCATCCTCACCCAACTCCACTGGCTTCCCATCACACAGAGGATACAGTTCAAGATCCTGGTCCTCACCTTCAAAGCCTTACACGGTCTTGCTTCCCCTTCTGCGACCTCCTAATGCCCTACCATCCTGCCCGCTCCCTCCACTCAGCAGGCTCCGGCCCGCTTCACGTCCCCCGCCTCGCTCGCCCCATCATTGGCGGGTGGGCCTTCTGCCACTCTGCCCAACCCTCTGGAACTCTATTCCGCAGTCCCTCCGCCTCGCCCCTTCCCTTGCCTCCTTCAAGACCCATCTCTTTGACCATGCTTTCAATCACCCTGTTTACCCCCTTGCCCTCCACCCTCCCCAATCCCGACCCCCAGCTCGCGTCCGAAACTGATTGTTCAGCGTGACACTGGAATGTCCTCCCGAGGTGAAAGGCGCTATACAAATGTAATTGTGTTGCTGCTATTGTTGATTAGTAGTCCTTGGCTTTTATGTAACCATATCCCATCAATAATTCAGCACGGGGGGGTGGAGGAGGGGAAATAACTTTCACGGACATCAGCACATACATTACATTTTTCTAGTTACCAGTGCAATGCACAGCAACAGATATAGTCATTCTTCTGAAAACAAGTGCAGTACTGTCAAAGAACTGTGCTGGACAGATCAAACCTTAAGTTCCTCTGCTACACTCAAAGAGTGCCCCATTTAGGTCTGAAAAAAATGTGTGAAACTGCTCAGCAACTGCGGTTAGATAGCCTTATACTGCTAATCTTGCACTTGTCCAGGACATGCCTTCAGCAAAACTAATAAGACTTCTAAGTCAATGCAAACTAATGCTTTAAAAGTTTTTAGGAAGCAAATGCGAGAAATAGAGTCCAGGCTACTTATTCTTCACTGTTGTACAAGTTTGGCTTGCTGGTGACTGCATTCCCTGCAGTGACCCTTCTAGGTCAGAATAAGAACTTTAGCATTGAGACTTGGTCTTTTCTTAAGTGGCTTTGTGAGCAAACAGGAAATAATGCCGAGAGGACACCCAAACATGTATTTCTCCTGATCCTCAGTAACTAAACTAATATGGGCTAAGTGTACACATTTAATTTAGAGAACTGTATCTACTACAACAACATAATATTCTGTGCATGCAATGTGCACTCCTCCTCACTCTCCCCATATTAAACATTTCCTGGGTTAATCCACACCTGGGTTTGGGCTCCAGCTTCCTAAGTGAAATATAATAGAACCTGGTTATAATGTGGTTTGTTATATAGTTCTTTATAACGTTCACACGTGATAAACAATTCTTTCCCCTTTCAAATGGTCAATTTTAAGGTTTGCGATGGGTAGCAAAAGTTATTTTTTTTTGTAAATTCAGCCTTGTATATCAAGTTTACACATAAAAATTTGGGGTGTCAACCGGGTGTCTGACACAAGCTGAAACTCATTACTGTGCTTAAGAGTATCCAAACCAGACTTGAGTTCATTGCATCCCAACTGCACATGGAAATTACCACTCTAGAATAATAATAATAATCCTTGCATTTACCATTCTAAAATAAAATACCTAATCTCTTGCACCTTGTCTAACCAATTCCCGTTTGTTAAGCACAGTTGTTTTTGAATGGAAAATGCACATGCAATGAATGAGATGCATTTATGACTTTGTAAAAATGCTTTTTTGAGGGATAATAGCCCCGCAGAGGAAACAAAATTGCTTGACACAAGCTGCGTCACCATTTTTTAAATCTGTAACTAGCAGAGTTGACAATGGACATTGTACAAACCATAATATGGAAGTAGAAGTAAGATATTAAATCAGATGAGAGCCCAGAAGTTGTGTGCAGTAGTAAGAGCTTAACCAGCTCAGGTGGTGTTTAAGCTTACAAGAGAAGTGAGAATGAAGATCAAAGGGAGAAGCAATTAGAAAATGAGACGAGCTTCATAACTTATTTAAATGAGATGGCTGCTCAGTAAAGTATCAGATCTCTTAAACTGAACATATACCAAATATCTAATTAGCAAACTGAATTTTATTCTCATGGGCTCAGCTGACAAGAGCTCTGTGTTGTGTGAAACAGAAAGACATACAGATGAGAACATTTCCAAGTTCCATCTCTGTTCTCAGCAGGTAGTTGCTTTCAGTCAGATTGATAAGTGGGGACTCTTAGCACTGGCTTCACTGTCCTGGGTAAGGAATTGGGGGAGGAGGCAGGGCAAATAGAGAAAGGGGGGNAAAAAAATATTCATTGCCAACCTTATTGGTCGAGTTAGGACAGAATTAGATTATGAAAGCAAAATTAGCGGTACTTTAATGACTTTCTTGTTGTCCTGCTATTTTGTAATTATCTCCACAAAACACTCGGGGTTATTAAGAGTATGGAATGCTTTGCCCAAGTGGCTACTGAAGCCAAGATCATGACAATATTTAAAAGGGAATTGGATATGTAATCAAAGAAAAATGAAAAAAGGAAAATGAAGTAAACTAGGAATAAGATATGTAGCTCCAATCGAAGAGCTGGAATTTGCATTTGCTCAATAAGCTGAATGGCCTGGCCTCAAGTGTTGTAATTTTCTATGAGAACAGAAATCCTGAACTGGTAAATGTCAATTATTTTAGTATGTTAGCCCCAGAACACATAGGTGGAAAAAACACTTAACCCAACATACTTTAATGTTGTGCTAGTGTAAACTTGTATGTTACTCACAATTTGTCCCTTCAAATTGCTCTGGCCATTAGCACGTCACTGTACTGTAAAATAGTTCAAAACTTCTATAATTTGGACTTTTTCATGGTTCAAGCGAAAGTATCCCAGTGATTGTAAAGTAACCCGTGTGGAACAGAACATATCTGTATATTTGTAGTGCACATTTGTGGATATTGAATGAGAATAGGATCAGGCTCAGTTATGGTCAAATAACCAGAGACACTCAGGTCTTGCCAAGTTCCACTGTCTTCTTGTTCTGCAAATTTCTCTTTATTTTCTGAAATTCTCCTTCAAAATGCCTTTTCAAAACTACCGAAGAGACTGGATGGACCGCCCCTATATCTCTGGGCCTTAATTCAGTCTCACTGGCTGTGGGATATTGACTAAGCTGCCCTAAAGTACAATTCCTGGTGCTTTACTTGCTTTTCAGTAAAACGAGTCAAGAGAATGCTTCTTGGAAGCAGGATGTTCCAACTTCCAAATAGCAGCAACTTGCTGTTGAAGTCTGTGTTTAAAATGAAAGTGAAACCAGAAGATCAAATCATGCACATCTACCTCAACACAATTGGTGAGCTGTTTTACCACCATAAATATCGCAAAGCATGAAGGTCGAGGAAGCCTTGAAGATTAAGAGGTATGTACGGACATAATCGTGTTTCTGATAGCCAGGCCATTTCAATGTTTTGTTGCGATTGATTTGGAACATCTCACTTTGGGCACCTCTCTAGGTAGGTGAAAGCTTTGGGATTGCATTGCATATAGCAGTGCCTTTGCCATGCATTCTGTAAAGATGCATTCTTCGGAGACCCAATGTCAATTTAATGTGTAAGAATATTTTGATGTAATGCACCAGTAATGCTCCCTTTGCGTACCTTGCTTCTATTTCTTTCTGCCACTTGCTTTAGAATTGATTCTAACTTTGCATGTTACATATGACAATTAATCCTACTTTCATAAACTCTTATTTTTTCATTCCACACTGCAATGTAACTCGATCCTCTTAGTGAACATTGTTTGCTCTGCAGGCAAAAACATTTATAAAATCAGCTCAACTACCCAATGACTATTGCATTCTATATAGATGTCAAGAATGGGGCGATCGACTTTTTTGAGGCCTTAATCATGCCCACTTGAGCCATTACTAGAGCTCAACCTGACACTTACGTGATCTCTCCTATTTTGTCTCTGTGATTAGTCTTTAGCCAAGCTATTTTCCGTGCTACATGTGTCCCCCAGAAATGTTGCAGATGTCTAAGCATCCAAACATTGTTATATGGCCCAAATAAACTGTATGATCCCATTCCACAAAATTAAACTTACCAAAAGCCAAGGAAGAAAACGAAACACAGTTTTGAGGTGACATACCTGGAAAATGTGGTATAACGTTCCCATCGACCTTGTAGGCTATTCCTATTTTAAGTTCCTGGAATACATCCAGGATGTCCAGTTTGGTAAGTGCTAAACTACACAGAAAAAATCAAAATGAGTTCATAATCAGCCTATCAGAAATAATTTTCCCTATGATTATAAGTTAGTATTAAGGTAAATGAATTAAATGAAGCCAATACACTCCCCCATCTCATAACTTACAATCAGTTTCCAACCCAAACCATCTTGTATCCTGCAGACGTGAAAGCCGCTATATAAAAACTGTTGTATTCTAAATGTACAAGTAACTGTCTGTATAATTTTTAGTTCAAGTGTATGTATGTATTAAGTCCAAAAAACGTCTTTGGAGTGAGTTACTTACGCTGTAAATCCATTGATCATGTGGGCATATTTGAGCAAAACAAGATCCAACCAGCCACACCTCCTCTTTCTGCCAGTGGTTACACCCACTTCACATCCTCGGGACTGCAGCAACTCGCCCGTTTCCTGGAAGTTGACAGAACGCAAACCGACAGGCTAAATTACTGCATTGACAACCAGAAAACACTTACACCAATGGAATACCACTTTGCCTGCCTATTCAAAGGTATCAAGTAGGATACATCAAGGATGACAAAGCAATGTGAACATTTGGGGCAAAATACTTCTGAAATTTTACATCTGGATATTATTATAAAAGGCATCAGGGGCTGATGGGATGTCCTCCTGATGTGAAAGGTGCGATGCAAATGTAATTGTTGTTGATAATCGCTGTAATAATATTATCAGTGTATATACTGTATATTATGCAATACACATTTAGAATGATATATGGTAAACTCCTGATAACTCAACCTTGGCTTAACTTATCACTAACGCTTAAGTCATCATGCTATCAATATCCCAGCTGTATTTATTTATGTATTTACAACATACACTTAACACTCCACTCCAGAAAACTTGTCACTGAGCCTTTTCTCCTTGGAGTGATACATTAACGTTACTGTTTACTGTATAATATTTACTATAATATACATAATTATAATATTGTACATTATCAGGTCAACTCAAAGGCATGCTACAACCATCTAGAAATGCACATTGTGCATCAGTCTGGCTAAGTCAGTTGCACGCTTGCCTCAGAAGATTATGGGTTTAAGCCCAACATCAGGACTTTGGAGACTGACAGCAATTCAGTGCTGGAGGTGCACTGCATTGTCGGACGAGTCTTCCTTTGAAAAATAATAACGCTTGCATTTAGCGCCTTATCACATCTTCAAGACGTCTCAAAGCGCTTCACAGGATATACTGTAAAGTGAATTGACTGTATATTTTGTAGGTGAAATGCAGCAGCCAATTGCATACAGCGGTGTCCCACAAACGGTCGTGGATTGAGTGACCAAATTATTTTTTTTGAAGGAATTATTGCCCCCAGAAAAGCTATCTGCCAATCCACTAACAATTGGATTCCTACTTACTGCTAGGTAAACAGGCGTGTATGTGGGGCAAGGAAACTTGCCTAAGGAATCAAACAACAACAACAAAATTACATTTATAGAGCGCCTTTCACATCGGGAGTACGAGTGCGAGGCAAGAGCTCTAACCACTGAGCTACAGGATTCCACATTAAACTGATGCCTCTCCTGCAATTCAGGTGGATGTTAAAGATCCCATGGCACAGTATGAAAAGAGAAGGAAGTATCTCCTGGGCAACAATCCTCCAGATAAAATTGGTTGTACATTTACTTCATGAATGTCTGCAGGACACTGCTCTGAGCAAATTGGCTGCCAGTTTGCCTACAAATGCCAATCATCGCACTTCAGAGTAAAAAGTCCTGCGAAATACTTTTGAGACATTATAAAGTGCAGTTACAGTGTATTTGTAGACCAACCTGCAGTCATTTTGCACACAGCAATGTCCCACAAAAAGCAGATGAACTGAATGAATATTGCACTGGAGGTTCAGCCTACATTATGAGCTCAAATCCTGAGATGGAGCTTTCAGAATTGTAAAGAAGATAGAAGGAAAGGTCAGTAGTTAGTCAAATATTATGGCACAAGTGAATCATATAAAGACTTACATTACTTTGTTCAGTGGGGAACGCTCCAATTCCTACTCTAGTTGTGTAGGCTTTCACTACTCCATACACCTCTCCAACATTCTGTGGTGGGATCCCCAAACCCGTGCAGACACCACCCACTGTGCAGTTTGACGACGTCACAAAAGGATAAGTACCTGTTAAAGGAACAGAAACAACCTGTTTAGCGTTAAAGTAATCCAGACAGATCAGTTCATGAGCACTGGATTTGGGACCTAAAGTTTCAGGGTTCAAATTCAAGTCTGTCCACTCAGCCCTTCTGAGGTTGATAAAACAACAAGATTACATTTGTGTAGCACCTTTCACATCGGGAGGATGTCCCAAGGCCCTGGAAAGTGTACAGCATTTCAGGTCTGAGCTGGGGTCAGGGAGAAGGGAGGGGAGGGGAAGGGCGTGGCCGATGGCATGGTTGAAGAGGAAGGTTTTGAGGTGGGACTTGAAGGAGGCTATGGAGGGGGCAAGGTGGAGTGATTGGGGTATGGAATTCCAGAGGATGGGGGCAGAGTGGCTGAAGGCTCTTCCACCAATGGTGGAGCAGGACAGAGCCGGCTGAGTGGAGGGAGCGGGCGGGTTGATAGGGGATTAGGAGGTCACAGAGATAGGGTGGGGCGAGACCATTGAGGGCTTTGTAGGTGAGGACCAGGATCTTGAACTGGATCCTCTGAAGGATAGGGAGCCAATGGTCAGGCGAGAATAGGGGAGATGGGGTCATGGAGTTTGGTGCGGGAGAGGACACGGGCTGCAGAGTTCTGGATTATCTGCAGCCTGTGGAGGGAGGAGTTGGGAAGGCTGACAAGCAGTGCGTTTGCATAGTCAAGCCTGGAGGTGATGAAGGCATGAACAAGAGTTTCAGCGGCCTGAGGGGTGAGGTAGTGGCAGAGTCGGGCGATGTTACGGAGGTGAGGGAAGACAGAGCGGATTATGGCTTGGATGTAGGGAAGAAGACAGTTGAGGGTCGAACAAGACACCTAAGTTCCTGACTGGCTTGGTGAGTTGTAGTGTGCAACCATGGAGGTCGATGCTGCCAGAGCCTGAGGTCCATGTACAAGTACAGTCCATGTGACCTACATACTAATGAAAAGGCTTTGTCCCCACCAGAAGTTAACCATTCTCTGAATGTGAGGAATATTTCTCCTGTGGTGTTTTATTAGCTACTAGATAAAAGAGCAGGTTGTCATAGTTCTTTATCTGACCGAGGCCCTTTGCTGTCGCCATTCTATTCTTCAAATGGAAGGCATTGAGCTGATTTAGGAAGTGGAAGGTCTGATGTCCCTATAATTCCTTTATTTGTAACAAAATAGGACTTCTTACAAAAACAATTCAAGGTCACACTCGCGTCTTTTAATATGGTGTATTTCATAAATGCTTTAATGCCATCTTACCAAAGTCAATATCCAATAGTGCTGCATTTGCACCTTCAACCAGAACCTTCTTTTGTGGACCATGCAAGGCTTCGTACATGAAAAAGACTCCGTCCCTTACCATGGGTTTAATTCTCTCCACGTAGCCCTGTAGATGAGATCAATCCTTAATGAGTTAGGTTCCTCATCAATCACTGTTGTTGTCCAACACTTACCAATCTGTTCTTTGTCCCAATTACTAAATCACATTGAGATAGCATTCCCAGAATGCATACAGGCCGTATGCAATAAAACATTCCACAATAACTTTTAAATAATCAATAAGACGATATCATGACATATTGATTCGACCCATAAATTATAATTCATGTTGGATTACCAATACAATATCACACACACACATATATATAAATGATTTGAATTAAAATCCTCATGTGGGAGAAAGATTGCCTTATCACATCCGAGTCGTCTTACAGCGCTTCACAGTATTTTGCTGTGAAGTAAGTGATTGTGTATTTGTGGGCAAATGCGTTAGAAAGAAATCAAAAATCATTTCTCCCCATATCAGGCTAATAATTTAGACAGGTGGGTGAATGCAGTTGGGCCTGTGGAGTTTTGTCAGTATGTTCAGTTTTGTGTTGCTGAGTGTTGTGTGGCACTTCTCTGCTGCAGTCTTCCTCCTACTGTCGGTAGATGGCGCTGTACAATTGTTGTATTTATTAGCTCATGATGCCACCAAATTTGGATTCTTGAAGCATATTGAAGGTAGACCTCCAGACAAAAACGAACTGTAGCAACCTTAGTTTACTGCCAGCGTAAATTTGAATTAAAACAGCACTTTCTAACTATGACTGTTTGTGGGACATTGCTGTGCGCAATTGGCTGCCGCGTTCGCCCACAAATATACAGTCAATTCACTTTACAGTGTGTTCTGTGAAGCGCTTTGGGACGTCCTCCCGACGTGATAAGCGCTATATCAAATGCAAGGATTATTATTATTATTATTATGAAAACATGTGAAAATAATCTACTTCAAATTAACAAGTCTGTGTTCCAATAATAGTTTAATATATTAGATACTTCAACGTGAAATATTGCACTTTACAAGCAAATAGTTAATGCAGAGGCACAACTTTGAGGGGATTGAATATATTTGTGAAGTCTGCGGATAATTTAGATCTGGTCTTACATAAAAATCGCATCGGGTTAGGAGTCAAAACACAGTGATGTTCAAAATGGTTTGTATAGAAGTTCTTGAATGTGCTGTTGCCCTCATCTGAAGCATCCCTATTAATCAGAATGGCACCCTGGTCTGTAAAGGATTCCTAACCTAGAAATAACAGATGACTTGCAATAAACAAAGACAAGTCATAAAAAATCTATTATTAAAACAGAAAGTCAATAGGATTATCCAGCAGTTCACNAAAAAGAGACAAAATGTGGCTCTAATCCAGTGTAAAAGCCTGCTGGATCTGTGTAATGATGACAAAATTAAAACCATTAACTTCAACTAATGAAATTCTACCACACAGGTCATGGTGTATAAACTGGTTAAGACCAATTGCCACATTTGCCAACAATCTATAGTACTAGGATTTGCTTCTCAATAGTAAGGATAAATAAGCGTATGATCATTTACCAACTGTGCCCCAGTTTAAAAGCAGACACATGAGGAATATCTATTGTATTCGATTTGGTCCTGGAATGTATTGTTGATGCAGCTGAGCCCTGGTGTGTAAAAACATTAACTAGCATGTAAAAGAAGCATTGACTGATTTACCTTTAGCTGCTCAAGCTCCCCTTCTATATCAATATCCAGTGTAGGATACATCGACATGTGCTGATTTGCCAGAACTTTAAACCTAAGAACAGTAATTATTAAAAAATGAAACAGCAGTAAAAGAGCAGTAAGCATATGAACGTTCATATTATCTAGCTAACAAAAAATAATTCAACCAATTTTTAATGCATTGATACTCTAGCAATTTGACAAACTTCATTGCAGGTTAGAATGATCAGTGAAACTTTACCATAATTTTTAGGGGGAAAATGAACACTTTCCTTTCACAATTGTGATATATCAGCTCAAATCAGCATTGGGGTCATTTCTGCAGCAGTGTAAGTAAGCAGGGTGTGCTTAGCTGGAGAGGTGGCAGAGGAGAGAGAGGAACACAAAGAGCTTGGGATTTACTGATCTCCTGGACTGCCAATTAATTTTCTACTGTATAGGACAGTTTACACTGTTCTATTAGCAGAAAAAAAATGTTAGGAAACTAGGTTACTTAAGCTTTTCTTGTTTTTAAAAAATACTGTAATTACAAGTGTAATTACTTACTGATGTAAGTAAGTACATCTCTCGCTAAGAGCAAGTTTCACTTGTGATGATTCTTTGAGCACCGCAGTAGCACCAGTAGTGTTCTGGGGTTTTGGCATTAACACAATTGGTGTGACAACAGCTGCAGGGTGCAATGCAATAGCATTAATATTGCTAACACTGATACCAAGTTTTTGAGACTTCAACTTCCTTTGGTTCACTTGTCAACCCGTAAACTCAATGTGAACTGTAAGTCTGACCAAGAGAATGGGAAGTTGTGAATCAGCTAAGAAGTTTCTATACTCGGCAGTTCTGTATTACAACAACTTGCATTTATATAACGCCCTTCATGCAGGGTAGAACCTGAGCACTTAATAGTGTCAGAGCCTGACGCCGAGAGGAAGGTGACCGTAAGAATGGTCAAAGAGGAAGGTCTTCAGGCATGATCTGAAAAGGAGGAAGGAGGGGGCAAGAAGGAGGGATTGAGGGAGAGTTCCAAAACTGCAGGGAGTAATGACTGTCGCCGATGGTGAAGTGGATGGGTTCAGGGACAAGCAGGTGGCTGGAGCCAGCCAAGCGAAGAAGGCGGGTGATGGAGTGTGGAGTAAGCAGGTCAGAAAGTTAGAGGTGCTAGGGCCTGAAGTGATTTGTAGATGAGTATGAGGATCTTGAAGTCGATCCGTTCTGTGATAGGGAACCAGTGGAGCCTGGCAAGACTGGTATGATGGGGTTATGGCGTTTAGAACGGGTGAGCATACGATACGGGCAGCAGAGGAACCTAAAAAGGGACGGGTCATTGAATGTTGTAAATAGTAGATTTTTATCCACTCTGTGCACAAAAAGGTGCGCTTTTCAAAACAGTACTTTGAATCCAAATTCACAGCTTCTGAAATCAGTATTCAGCTCCAAACTATACAGATTTTACGCTCCATCAATTATCAAATGAAGTATCTGCTAACAGCTGCTGTATAGTTCACTGAATCAGCTGTACCGTATAATTTGGTGATCCGGTAAAGCAACTTAGCGAGTAGTTTATCCATTAGAAAAAGTGACCCACAAAATTGGAGTGTCCAAAAATTTGATTATTTCCATTTCAAATATTTTTTTAAAAAATCCAAGTTGTATATGAATACACTGAAGTAAAACACACACCGTACTTCAGAAACAGTTACTTACAGTGGCAGAATGCAAAGGGCTAAATGGGAGAACTTCAGACATGCACTGAACAGGACCGCCTTCCGCCACCTTGCCCGCCTCCGAATGTAGCCAAAACTCTTGTGCATGTGTTTGTCACCTCCGCTTGGATTACTCAAACACACTCCTCGCCAGTCTCCCCAGCTCCACTATTCCAAAAATCCAGCTCATTCAGAATTCTGCTGCCCGCATAATTACCTGGACCAAACTCCGCACCCACATCTCACCAGTTCTGGCCAGGCTCTACTGTCTCCCCATCACTGAATGGATCATCTTCCAAGATCTTCACACTTGTGTTCAAATCCCTTCACTCTCTGGCACCTCCCTACCTCTCCAACCTCCTCACTCCCCAATCCACCATCCAGCGCCTGCCCTCGATGGCACCGGCCTCCTGCTCGTCCCTTGCAGCACCCACCCCACCATCAGAGGTCGCACATTCAGCCACTATGCCCCGAAACTCTGGAACACTCTCCCTCAATTTTGCCTCCTCTCTCCACTTTTTCCAATTCCACCTGAAAACCTTCCTTTTTGGCCGTGCCTACGGTCAACTCCCCGCACCACCACCCGGCTCGGAGTCAGGCTCTGCCACTTTTAAGCGCTCTGAGACAGTACCCTGCGTAGAGGGCGCTATATGAGTGCAAGTTGTTGTTGTCCTGAGAACCTTTGTACAATAGAGTACCATTCTCTGTAGAAAGGCTAGCTGGTGTTAGACTAAACTGTTAAATTATTAGTTTGGCTAGAATATCTAAATTATTCTGTAAGATGCAGCCACTGTCTGACATCCCTACATGTTATCTTATTGTAGTTCATTTCAATTAACAAATAAATACCAGAAATCCAAGTATAATCTCCACTTATTAGAGTCAGAATTTGGACAAAAAGGGCACCCTTTGCCAACAGAGAGCATTCTTTTCAAATGCTTACTGAAAGCAATGGTTTATACGAACGCTAAAAATGTAGAAAACAGTTACTACATTAATTTCAAAAAAATTAGTTTGAGTTTGAATTCCTACAAATAAGCGCAACTTGAAAGGCCACAGGAGTTTGTGAAGTAACACAAGTCTTAAAAAAGACAAAATCACTTTGGTCCATTGAATCTATTCCCACCCACCTCAGACCATTTGCAATTTTAGTCGTGGGCTATTCCCAGTGATGAGCAATTAGACAAAAACTAAAACTGAATGTGTCCTTGAACCTAGAAAATAACTCGACTTAATAACCTACATTACTCAATCCTGACTTAACACATTCCATAGAGAACTGCAACTACTGTATGGTGTGAGAGTATTTGGTAACTACCTCTATATTTAATTTTTTCATCCATTCTTCACTGGATACTCATCCAATTTTTTTCACCCTCAATTTCCTCTCTTTCTCCCATTTCAAAGCAACGCATTGCTTAAGTATGATTCCATGCACACTGGCACCCATCACACTTTCCCCATGTAGTCATTCTTCATGTGTGTCGCTAATTCATGCTCTAAGACACGTTCTTGCATGAAGGGTGCTATATAAATGCAAGTTGTTGTTGTGGTGTGAACATTGAGTGCATAATTCAGCTGATCATTTCAATCTGCATGCCAAGGAATTTGCCCTTAATTCCATCAATCTTAAACTTCTGTAAAATCCCTATCTGTTGTGTGTTGCCCCTACCACCACTGGTCAGGCACAGACAAGCATTATGATATATTGATTTCCAATGTGAATACCAAACCATAAGGGCATGGAAGGAAATAATAAGAACTGTAACCCTATTATTCGAGAAATATTTATGAATTTTCTATAGGTTTTCAACATATGATACATCACATGAGGTTCTGCCTACATGGTGAGACAAAAGTAGTGGGAAAGGAAAAGTAGATCCTGTTTATATATGATTAACAAAACCTTTCAAATATAGGCTTGAATTATCAGTATCATGAGCATCATGCCAATCCGAGCATTGTTAATTGAAACACTGAACAGAATGCTACCACCACCAAATGAATAAGCTCAGAGAATGACACAATGGCAGCAAACACTTCATTAACGTCTTCTCCCGTCAACGTCTTCTATTTGACCTCCTCGGCCTATCCCTCAGACTTATAGAACTAGTGCGCCTCCCAGGCGTCAGGTTCCAGCCACAGCTGTCCTTCCTTCCCCACATCCAGTCCCTGACCAGGACTGCTTCCACCTCCACCACATCGCCTGCCTCCGACCTTACCTTACCCCAGATGCAGCCGAAACACTCGACCATGGGTTCATTACCTCCCGACTCGACTTCTCAAATGCCCTCTTTGCCAGTGTCCCCAGCTCCACCACGCACAGGATCCAGCTGGTCCAAAACTCCACTGTCCACCTCCTCATTCATACTAATCTCCGTACCTCCATTACACCAGTTCTAGCCTGGCTCTCTATTGCCGAACAAATCGATTTCAAGATCCTCACATTTGTTTTCAAATCCCTTCATGCCGTGGCACCTCTCTACCTCTCCTGTTTACCCCCACAACCTCTGGCCTTCTGCATGTCCCTCATACCCTGCCTTCAACCAATGATGGCCTCGCTTTCAGCCATTATGCTCCGAAACTTTGGAACACTCTTCCTCTATCCCTTCGCCTTGCACCTTCCTTCCACATCTTCAGGACCTGTCTAAAGACTTTCCTATTTGGCCGTGCCTACAGCCCCCCTCCTCCCGGCTTGGTGTCTTGCTCCGCCACTGTCAAAACCCTCTGGGACGCTACCTTGCGTGAGGGGCTACATAAATGCAAATTGTTGTTGTTGATTACCTTTCGGAGAAATCACCAAAGTCATTCAGAAGGTCACATATCCGGAGTCCACTCCGGGCTGCTTTTGAAGAATACACTGGGCCTATTCCCTTCTTTGTGGTTCCCAAGCTTAAAAAAAAGGTAGGAATATTCAAGTTAAGAGTCTGTCCATTAAGAAGTCGCCAAGTCAGGCCAATGAAAAAGTAACAGGGATAAATATTTTGGTTTTATATTTCAGGCGCCCAAGCAGAAATGTGGCTTCATACTAGGCTAACAGGAAAACTGTATATTTTCTATCAATCAATCAGGAGTTTGCCAACAGATTTGAGAAACATTTTTTTTAATTAAAAGCCTTTTTTTTAATAAACATAGTGACTGAACAATAAAACAGGATGAGTAATGTGAGAGAGAGAGAGCAAAAATATGGGGGAGAGGCAGGTGAAGAGACACAGAAGAGAATGAGAGAGAAAGCAAGAGGGGGAGGGAGACTAAGCAAGAGACAGACAGTATAGAATCGCTTTCTAAATGCTAACAATCTATAGTAAACAATTAAGTTTGTTGAAAAAAAATCATCAGATCGCAGGAGATGCCTTTCCAAAGAATGCAGTTGGCAACTGAAGCATTTAAAAAATAAACTTGTGCTTCCTGTATTTCATAAGAAAATGGTAAGAAAAGTTAAGTTCACTATAAAGCTGAATATGGAGTGGTACAAAGTTAAGTTCGCTATAAAGCTACTTATGATGTTCCAACCTAATCTGACTTGAATCTTCATTTAGATGAAATATATCCCAAGATGCCAAAGCAGAAAAAAAAATCACAATTCCTAGAGCAGTTGTTCAAGATGGTTTAATTCCACTCTAGTACTGTGACAAATGCTGACAAGGAAGGCAGTACAATAATCTTACTTTTTTCCTGCTTGTTGTTGTCTCTGTTGCTCCTGAGCACCATCAGCAGCTTGGTGGAAATCAAATACTAGAACAAAAAATATTCATTAACTTATAACACAATACAAAAGTGGGCACTTTATTTTGCAAGCTTGTTTATCATTCCGCTGGGCAGTCTTGGGAATTCACAAAACTGTTCACTATAACCCATAAAAATAATCTCAAACCACTGAGTTAATAGGCCAACCAGTTCAGGGCAATGCAATGGTTTCACATACTGTATTATTTTAGCTTATTATAATAGGAATACAATCCCACCATTTCTAGGGAAATGTTATGCATCCCATTTCCTTACAAAGCTAGTGCTTTACATACTACCAGCAGTGTTAAATATACACCTACACTATAGGCCACTATTATGCCAACAGAGGCTTTTTTGGATATTCCCTGTAGATTTGAGAAGGTGCACAGCCAGAATAATACATCAAGAGTAGCAATTTAAGAACTGTGTTGTCACAGTGGGCAGGAATTCCATCCTGCAGCACAAGGTTGGGACAGGGAGGAAAACAGTTATAAACAGACTCGAGCACCTTGAAAACTAGTTCTCAGTTCAAATCTTCAGCGGAAGCCAGTTTAAATATTTGTGCATAGCAACCCAACTCTTTCCCACCTACACTGTCAGCAGTGCTTTTAGCTTCAAAATATTTACAGTAAATTTAAATTTGGTTACACAAATTCTGTACAACTCTGGTAATGTGTGCGTTGGGGCACACAGGAAGTCTAACCAGTAAGATCACATAGCTTGCCATCAATATTGCTATCCAGCAGGCTTCCCCCGCTGCTTGTCCAGCTAGGACCATCCTACCCGTTAGGGCTTTGGCTTGCAGGGTTAACAGGAGCTGAGTGGGATAACTCCCTGTCCCCAGTCTCAATGCAAGACATAGGGAGGATGCAATAAAGAAATATACACAAATGAGAAACAATGTGTTCTGTACCACTCTGGTAATGTGATCCCTGCCCCGATGTTTGGCTCGGAAGCTAGGAATATGTGAAGAAGTTATTTAAATCAAGACCAGTCTTTAAAACATTAGCAACAGGTGGTTATTGCATAAAACAAACATGTTTGTACATCCCTGAAACATCAATGAAACATTTATGAAAGGAAAACACACAAAATAAACAGAAACAGTTTCCTGTGGTCCAGAAGATGTGTTATGAGTGGCTACCTTCCAGAGAGTTTCACCAAAGCAAAGTAATTGTGGCTAGCTAGTGCAATCCAGCAAATCTCCAGATACAGGGATTCATGTGTAAAGTTACACTTGGCCCATGTTGCTCGGGAAGAAGGCAAGAAGAGAAGCCAGGTTTGGTCCGAGTCCAGGCACCGGAGCTGAAAGATGTCATGCAAATAATTCCGATTGAAGTATGAACTGAACCTGACAGAATTAATCCAGTCCAGGGAGGGACAAAGCCACAGAATCTGGAGTTTCTGTTTTTTTCTATACTGCAGGAGAAAGGGGGAAGGAAGTGGAAGAAAAAGCAAGGAAGAGCTACTCTGGCCAGTCCAAATAGGGCCTTTTTGGTCTGATTTATTTGCAGTTTGCTGTAACCGACTCAAAGAGCAAACATCCGGTTTTGGAACTCTATAGGAGTTATAAAACAGGTTCCTTTGTCGATTTCAAACACTATTCTTAACATCATCATCATTACTTTGGAACAGCTTTCACAGAACATGCCTGTTTAAAGGTGTAAAGCAGCAAGGTTGCCACTGGTAAACTGACTAAATAAATGGAAAGTTACAGGCATTTTCATCAACTTGGAAGCTTATTTGAATTGAACCCTGTTTAAAAAAGTGCATTCCCACACATACTTCTGGAAATTGTCTTGTCAAAATTTTAATTAAATTTGAATACAGAATTCACAATAATTAGAATTCATAGTAAATAATGTGTTCATTAGTTCATTAGCATACTCTGGGGTCCCCAAGCCTTGGCTCTTGCCAACCTGCGCCTAATACTTTCTGAAATTAGGTAAACAGGATGTGTCCCTCCAAGGAGAGAGTGCGCATTCCATTCCAACAATCTATCTCTGGGATTTCCAAAGTGTAGGTGGGATGCAGGGAGTTCTCAGGTTGTCTTGGATGCTCTTAATCATGGTGATGGGTTTCCGCATGTGTCAGACACCAGGCTGAACAAAAATAAAACTTTTTTTTTTTTTTTAATTGTTTGTTTTCATTTTGACTGCCTTAAGAGTTCTTGGGATTGCACTTTTAAAATGAAGCAATATACAAACAAAAGTAAAATTGCTGAAAGCTTCAAGAAAATACCAAGTAAACAGAACATGTGATTGATTTTCAGGGCAGACAACTGTGACCCTAATCTACAGATTTGATTTCATGTCCCTGTCCCATTTTATTTGATAGCATATAAATCTCTCATATGCTTGGGATGAATGTAGACAAATAACTGTAATGAGACATGAGCAAACTGGTATCCAAGCCACATCCTGCTTATAACAATATTGGAGACTGTTCCTTGGTTACGAACTTCCGATAAGTGAAAACTGTCTATTTATGCTAACCTTATTGATTTCATAATTTTAACCTCCTCTAACAGGCCAATTTAAATACCTCTGTTAAAGTTAAACACGTCAGTCAATGGACATTAAAAGTGGCAGCTCCTAGAGAAAAAGAACGTGGTTTTGTAAAGAATTGCATTTTAAAAGCTACAGTTTAACTTACCAATGTGGGCTCTATCTGAAATGATTAGCCTATTCTCCCAGCCTTCGAGACCTGAAAATGAAGACAGATATTGTGGTGCATGAAACCACAAATTGCAACATGCAACTTTGGTCTTCACAGAGAGGGACAATGCTGGAAAATGAAACTTGCGCCCTGGTGTCACCATTACAAGCCGCCAAGTACACCCAAGTTTGTCTATAAAGAGTCACTGCACTTCACAGTAAAATCCTGTGAAGCACTTTCGAGAGATATCTCAACGACATGATGAGGCGCTATATCAAATGCAAGGATTATTATTACCATTAAGAGCTCTCAAATGTGGCACAGGCTCTTTTTCCCATATCCCAACTTCAACTACTATTCATTATTCTCTTGAACACCGCAATGGATTCTGCATTTATGGCCTTCTGAGGCAGGGCATATATAGCCCTTTCCACCCGAGACCTAATTTAAATACAGGTAAGGGTTGCAATTGGTTTTCTGTTGCTTGTATCAATGTCTTGACATCAAAAGCGTTTATTCATTTCCACAGTGGCAGAGTCCCCAACAAGAGAGTGTCAGTTTGCAAGGATGACATACTGCGTGTAGAATTGCATCGAAATTCTGATGCCTGTCCAAGTTGGCAGGTTCCAGCAGCCACACATTAACTTAGGAAAAAATATTTTACTACGCTCCAGGGCCAATAGAGACTGGTTTATAGGTGCAACAATTGCTATTTAAGGGGGAATCTTAAGAGGTATTTGTCTTAGAAATCTTACAAGATTTTAAAAAGTCTGATAATTAACATTTCAAAATTTTTTAAAAAATCACAATATGAACACAATTGTTTTCTTTCTCTCGTCTTTGGTATCTTCCAATTTTCTTCTCTCCTTAAGGAATAAGCTCAATAACTCTTGCCAGAGTATTGTTCCAAGGTCGCCATCATCCTCAGCATCCACTCAATTGGGAGTTGATCCTTGAGGTTAGGCATTACTGTGTTGTTACGCTGGCCGAGAGGAGCCTACACACACCAGATCAAACTGGGGACAGCATGAACATTGCAAACTTTCACTCTTGTCAAGCCATTTGGTACTCCAAGCATCTTAAATAGATGGGAAAGGAGACACGAGTGTTCAAAACAAATTAAGCTACTCACACATAAAATCTTGTGACATTTTATCAGAGCTTTTAAAAAAACTATTACCTTTTTAATTTTGTAACAAATCAAATATGTATACTTACAAATATGTATGGAACTGAGTGGGAAATAATAATTCTTGCATTTGGTATATAGCGCCTTTTTCATCAGGAGGACGTCCCAAAGCGCTTCACAGGATTTTCTGTGAAGTGACTATGTATTAGTGGGCAAAATGGTGAGTGGTCCCTACAAAGACAGAACATAGTAACAATTTAACTGTGTCTTATGAACAATAAAAATGAACAAATGTTCAAACTTATTGTCCTCATTCACTTTGTGATGTTTATGTTCCGTCCAAGATGAGGAGGGGGGGTGCAGTACAACAACAACAACAACAGATGGGTGGTGGGAGAATAGGGGAAGACTTAAACTCACAATAGGTGAGAGTTCTCGGGGGGGAGGGTGTTGCACCTTAGTTTTCAATTGGCGTTGAGGTCCGGCGGTTTACCAAAATGTAACTTACGGCTTAGGGGAGTCTGGTTGGCATTTTGTAGCAAAAGTAACCACAGTGCTGTCCTCCTGATATAAACTGTGCCCCTAATATACTCCAATTTACAGGGAGTAAAAGCCTGAAGTCAATTGTACTAACCTTTTCCCTTCTTTGTGTTTTTCTCAGCTTCTTCAAAGAGACCGGGAAGATGAACAACCACACCATTACCTGTATCAATTTACAATTAAGTTAATTTTTGAATCAACCTTTTATTAGCTCACTTAACCAATGTAAATGTACACTTACATCATTCTGGATCAAGCAATACAGATTTCAACAGCAATTTCAAGATTCCTTTAAAATATATATTTTTTAAGCTGGAATGTCTTCATACAGAAGTCAAGTTTAAAAATATGTAGTCCGAGAACAAATGTACGCTTGATTAGTTTTTTTCTGTAAACTTGAAAGATCAAACGGTGGTCAAAAAAGGCATTTTGCAATAGCCATGATTTCCCAACATTGGGATATCCCATGATATCATCATGATATCCCATGATATCAAATGGTGATCTGTCATAAGCCATTTTTAATGCAGGAACAGAAATAATTAAACCAAATGGTTTTTAGAAGTTATTACTTGAAGCCAAACTCAATTAGTGGCTGAATGCACTATAACAAAGGGGAAAGAGAACACACCTCCAACATCTACTGCCAGACAGTCAGTAAAATCACACAAAAACAAGCATGGACGAGAGAAGCATTACACACATTTCTGATTTTTTAAGCCGCTAGCACCTTCATTAGAGCAAGATACTGGCCTGTGTTCTAAGCAAGGCAATGGTGTAGGGCAAATCTAATAGGGGAAAAAATGCTTCAAGCGTCTGCCAGAGACACAATGTTTGCAAGGTGTTGAGCATTGGTGAGGCTGCATGCATACATTTTGCTGCAAGTGTTGTTCGAAGGAAGTTGGTGCAATTTTAGATCCACTTCAACACTGACGACATCAGGAAATGGCATAAACTATTTAGGAGACTACTAAGCAAGCAGGCAAAACTTACCAATAAAAGCAATGACCTTGGGGTTGATGATACCGCTGGGTAGAAGGTGAAAGTCATACTCTACAGAATCCACTACAACAGTGTGGCCAGCGTTGTTTCCTCCCTGTGTACGAAAGAAAAGGTTTAATTACAAAACCCAATTCTTCTCGCTCTACTTTTGCCAGTTCTATATTTTTAGATGGGTGGGGAGGGAAAGAAGGAGAAAAATATGTACGATCTCTTTGTCGGCAGGAAAATAAATCAGACTTGGCTGCTCTCCTCTTCAAGGTGAAAAGCCTCACTTCAATCCAGTAAATCTAGCTGAATCTTGGCACAAATCATGCAAATTGGACAAATGAGTTGAAGTGTGAGGCAAAACTCTCAGAACAATGCCAACTCACACTTCCAGCAAAGAACACAAAATTCTGGGTGGCATCTAAATCAAATCACTTTTCAGGCAGCATAAATCTCCATTTTGCAAAATCTTGAACTGCTTACTATTGGAAATACAAAGGCTGAGTAAAGATAAAAAGGAACACATTTGCCAGGTCACGTGCTGAAAGCGATGTGGTAAAATGTGGGAGTTAATAAGTAACAAATCCCGCTGCTCAACACTCCTTTATAAACTATGGCCGGCCACTTGGCAATTTGACATTTAGGTTCCCAGTACCACTGGATGCTGCCAACAATCTCATTTCCTTCTTTGCAGTTAATACATAGCCTGAGATAAGATGAAGGGCTTGCAACAATAACATCTTTTGATTTTCACAGATGTGAATCATCGAATACAGGTCAACAACAACAACTTGTATTAATATAGCATCCTTCACGCGGGACGAAGCCTCAGAGCGCTTAACAGTTGCGGAGCCCGATGTCAAGCCAGGGGAAGGGTGACCGTGGGCACGGTCGAACAAGAAGGTCTTCAAGCATGACCTAAAAATGGGGAGAGGGGGCAAGGCGAAGGGATTGAGGGAGAGAGTTCCACAGCTTTGGGGCGTAGTGGCTGAAAGCACGGCTGCCGATGGTGGAGTGGTGGGTCCGGGTGAGAGGAGGAGGCCAAAGCCAGTCGAGCGAAGGCAGCGGGTAGTAGTCTAGGGAGAGCAGGTTGGAGAGATGGGGGGGTGCCAGGGCGTGAAGGCATTTAAATGCAAGAGTGAGAATCTTGAAATCAATCCACCCTGTGACTGGGAGCCAATGGAGTTTGACAAGGACTAGGGTACTGGAGGTACAGAGTTTAGTGCGGGTGAGAAAGCGGGTGGCGGGGTTTTGAATTAATTGAATGTTGTGAATAGTGGAGCAGGGGAGACCAGTGAGGGGGGCATCTGAATAGTCGAGGCGGGAGGTGACAAAAGCATGGACGAGGGTTTTGGTAGATTTTGGACAACCTTATTCAGCAGCTTTTGAATAAACTCATTAGCCATGTTCATATCAATAATATTGCATTTGATAGAGAAACTTATCCCATTGTTGAACATCCCAAAGCACTTCTCAGAATTTACTCTAAAGTGTAGTGACTGTAAGTTTGTAACCAAACACAGCAGCCAATTTGTGTTCAAAATGTGGCACAAATTGCCTTGAAGTGAGTGACTTATCAGGAGAATTGCTGGCTGGAATACTCCCTTTCCTTTTCAAATAGTGCCATGGGATCTTTAATCTCCAACTGAACAGACCTCAGGTTAATATCTTATCCAAAGGACAGCACCTACAATGAGGCAGTGTTCCCCTAAGACTGCACTGGAGGGTCAACCTAAGACGATGACCTCAAAATCCCAATGTCAGGCTTGATTCCAAAAGCTTCAGACTTTGAGGCCATGAACTGATCCAGGTTGACACCTTTTAAGAGTTAAGAGTCCTGGCTCTCCTGAAAAACATTAGGAACTGGATACACAAACTAGATTTGACCCCAATCTGCAGGATTATCTGATCTAAGACAGCAGTATTTGATGTTTTATTATTGCCAGATTCCTTTCATCTTCATGTCCTTCAATTTAGCGCCGTTCATGCCAAAGAAGCATCTTGAAGCACTTTATGAGATTAAAACTTAACTGAATGGTATGGGGGTAACAGTAGTAGCTAACCTGTGCCAGCAATGTTCTGCAAAAGAATGAGCTTGTTCTTGACAGCTCTGGCCTATGGTTTTTTTTTAAAAAAAGCCAGTTTCCTGATCTTGATTACTAGTCAGTAGGCCCCTCTGGAAAGTATTAATGGCAGGATTGGGCATGGCCATTATGTCCCAAAGGTTGGACAGCTCTCTGGCACTCACCACCAAAGGATGACTGATCCATTATATAATAACAATTAATCCTTGCATTTGACGTCGCACCTTATCACGTCTTTGGGATGTCTCAAAGCGCTCCACAGAATATACTGAGAAGTAAATAGACTAAAATTGTATATTTTGTGGGTGCATGAATGAGAACGGGATCATAACCCCCCACCATCACCACGCACACACAAAAAAAAACTAGAGCCCTCTGTTACAGTGCAACCTCTAAAGAATCGTCTAAACCTTGAAAGGTTTGAGCCCACAGTTTTCTAAAAGGCAAGTTTTCCAGGAGTTCACCTCATCTGGAGTTTGTATGACCATTTCACCTTAAAATTTACTTTGCACAAAATTGTGGAAAGTTCTTAAAATCAGTCTTAAATTGAAACCTTTTTTAAGAACTGCAACAAAGTGGCTTCTAAATCAACAATAATTCCTAAGAATTTACCACAATTTTGTATGTTTTTAAATTTTATGCCAAAGTCTTACTGTGAAGAGGTGGAAATTTCAGGCCTCATATTCCTCTCAAGGGAAAGGCTCAGTTACACAAAAATAAGCATTACGTTGCTGAACTGTTTTAAAAGTGCTTTACAGGATTTCCTCTAAAGTGTACTGACTAAGTATATGTAGGTGAATGCAGCACCCAATTTGCGCACAGCAGCATTGCACAAACAACCATAAAGTGACCCAATTTAATCTGGAGAATTGTTGCCCAGGACATTCCCTTAAATAGGTCTAAAAAACAGAGGTCACAGCTCCAAATAATTTTCAATGTGCCCCCGTTCACTTTGCGTCTAAAACAAATGCTACTGATCCTCGAGCCACCCCACACATCTGCAATCTATGTAAATCCCTGTTCCATGCAATCAAATGACTATTATTCCAGATTCACACAGAAACAGGATAACAAAAAACACTGGTACTGTTGCACCAAGTACTTATATTTGGCATGTTTCAACTGTTCTCCCAGACATGACCTTGAGTAGACTGGCAATGCACTGCCTGAGTAAATGAACAATTCACAGTGCAATCACTGAAACCTACTCACCCCACGTTAAATTTCACAATATAGGAAATATTGCTTAACAGACATTTCCTACCTAAAGAATCTAAGCAGAAGTAACCCTATTCGAACCGCTCCTTAAATAAGAGCACAATAAGATTCTCATGAATCCTTTTAATCCTGGTTAAATAATTACAACTAACAATTAACATCCAGAATTTTACTGGCTGTGTACAGCTGATAAACCAAATTCTAAAAAAAAAATCACATTGAAGTTTGGCAGTTGGAAGCGCCATTATGAATATATTTCCAGATGAATTTAAGTGGACAAGTCCCACTTGCAATCCAGATGGCCAATCATGTTGTGACAAGTCAAGACCCCTCTCCCCACAATGGTCCAGCATTCAGCCATATAAACAAGAATCCCTTTGGTTCGACTCCTGCTTGTGCCACGTTTTAGTTAAAAAATCTTGGGACTCAGTAACACACTCAGAAAATGCTCTCAGAAAATGCTAGCTTAATGTCAGAGCAATTAATACTGCAACTTTGTAAAAGTGCGACTTTAGGAATGACAGAACTCTTAGCTATGTACCAGACGCAACCAGTTATGAACACAGGGCAGCCAACCGCACCGGTGTGTTGCACTCATGTTCTATTGCTAAGTTTAGACAAGTGTAGATTCCCGTTTTTGTTCACTTGGTAGCACTCTTGACAGAATGACAGATTGCATAACAAGTCTACATTTAAATACACTGCTACTATTCCATTCCTAGTTCATGTGATCTGCACCTTCTACTCCATATTGTTTAATGCAAATTTTGAAAATGTCTAACCAAGCCCACTGATGGATCGATTGGTAACACCATAACATAAGGCAATACAGGAAGGTTTCATGTGATACAGTTGATCTTAGATGCTGAGGTAGTATTTGATATCTCAGCACTCCTGAATTGGAAAGATTAAAAATATAATCAGCCAGGCTCTAGTTTCTGACCTCCCCCCCACTTCTGTCTAGCCCATGGGTGTCAAAACTCATCTAGCCCCAACGGCCATTTATGTTAACACTGTTGACTTGGTGAGGCTTATCGTAAAAAAAACAGGTATATATAATACTGAACATCTCTATATTGATTGTGTGTATATTTGTTCAAATATACAATTTGCACAGAACATTAACCCAATGCACAACTCCCAGTCGTCAACAAAATAAGTATGCAGGCTACAGGTTTGAATATATGTCATATTAAACAGAGGGTTGGTTTCAAGAGAAATTCCAGTATAATAAAATAAAAAATAAAACATCAATGCAATTTTAGAAACTGCCAAATTTCACCTCAAGGGCGATGTTTGACACCCCTGATCTAGCCTCACATGACTGAGGTCCTGATGTGCGTTGACAGCCAATGAACCAGCATTCTCTCAGGAAAAAAGGCAGCAGAGAAGAAAAGTCTAAGCAAGTCTCCTGAACAGTTGAATCAGCCTGTTTTCTACTCACTGTCCAAAACACATGGCCAGGAGACTGTTTACACCATAGACATTAGCCAGTCAAGGCCACCTCAATTTGGATCAAGTCGTTCATTCAGCTTCCATCCATAACAAACTCATTTGAGTCAAGTTAAAAGGATGCCCCAAATAAAGACAAGAGGATTGGTATAGGGAGGGGAGCAGGGCCTACATTTCATACCGCTTACATCAGGTGGATTCAAATATTGTAGTTAAATTCTGGATATTTTATATGCAGGTTTATCAATTTAACTAACGCACATGTCAGGCGGAAAAGGGCATGGAATAAAAAATGCAAGGAGCATGTACTAAAGATATCCTACTGATATCAACAGAACGACTGCACTTGGGCAGA